GTGCTGTAACCTGCTGCGCCCCCAGGGAGGGCCGCTTAAACTTTTTTTTAAGTATACGTGTGTGTGCATACAGGAACTGGTGTGGGGTGAGCAGACTCCCCAGAGGCTGTGGGGCCAGAACTGAAACCCACCGCCAGGGGCAGCGGGAGATGGGGTGTCTGCTGGCCCGGGCCTCCCGGCTGCCCACAGCCCCCTCGTGCTCTTTCAGCGCTGGCGCACCACGGCCTGGGATAATTTTCTTATCGGCTGCTGACAGCCCGAGCATCAAAATGTTGCGAGCTTTCACTTTTTTCAGGACCGCTGGCTTTCTCTTTGCTTGTTTTCGCTGCTATCAAAAGCTCTGAAATGATTATCTGGATAACGAGCGCAAATGTGCCTGCTCTTTCTTTCATCAGTTTTCTTCCTCCCTATGGGCAGGTGGGGGTGTAGGCTCGAATGGGGGCGGCTCCTGCTTTCCAGCTTCTGCTCTGCCCCACCTCCACCCCCACAGCGGGGCAGGACCCGGGGAGGTATTCTCTCGTGGTGGTTTAAATTCGCGTCTCCCCTGTTACGAGTGATGGTGGGCGCCTTTTCACGTGCTTGTTGGCCGGGAAGAGACGTGTTTTTAGGGTTTGGGGCTTTGTCTCAAGGCCTAAACGAGTCTGGATTTTTGTAACGATCCCCATGCCAAAGGTCTAAGCTGGAGACTAACTCCCCCTTCACCCCCCCCCCGGGTCCCTGCCGCCGTAGGACGACGAGATCAACCAGCAGAGCCAGCTCATAGAGAAGCTCAAGCAGCAGATGCTGGACCAGGAAGAGGTAACGGGACGGAGGCCGCAGGAGAGCAGGAGGCGTGTGCGTCCCGGGAAGCAGCACAGGCCCTTTCCTGCACTCAGTGGAGCAAGGGGCATTCTGGAAGTGTGGGGCTTCACCGGGGCTTTGCTGAAAGCACGGATTTTGGAGTTGAAATTCTTTATTCTGACACCCTATTTCTTTTTTGGTAAAGATTGGTTCATGCACACAAGAACTGGGGTACAGGCCAGAGGTGCGGGGGGTGAGAGCATTCCCAGAGGCAGTGGGGAGCAGAACAGGTGGACGCACTGAAGCCCACCGCCGAGGGGGCAGCGGGGACGCAGGAGGGGGCTGCCGCGCCCTGGTCACTCCCCGGCCGGGGGTTGAACTCGTGCCGCAGCGGCTGGCCAGCTTCACAGCCTGGAGACTCAACCCCTGCGCCCCCAGGGTGGCCTCGTTACCCCATTTCTAAGAAGCCTGACCTCACTTCCTCTTGGCTTGCGCCGGCCCTCACGCCCCTCCCGGACTGTGACCCCCAGGGGTCGTGGAAGCGGTCAGGGCAGCAGACGCCCTCCCCTGCTTCCCGCCCCCCAGCTGCTGGTGTCCACGCGCGGGGACAACGAGAAGGTCCAGCGAGAGCTGAGCCACCTGCAGTCTGAGAACGACGCGGCCAAGGACGAGGTGAAGGAGGTGCTGCAGGCGCTGGAGGAGCTGGCCGTGAGCTACGACCAGAAGTCCCAGGAGGTGGACGAGAAGAGCCAGCAGAACCAGCTTCTGGTGGACGAGCTGTCTCAGAAGGTGGTGAGTGGGCGACCAGGGCTGAGGGCGCCCCCGCGGGGCCTGTC